GGAAAACATGACTGACTTACCCCACTTCTGCACTGTTAGACTGATCCCTGCAGCAATTTTTCCTCCATGCTCCAACATTCTAAGGTACTGTCATGATAAGGAACAAGGCATGATCCATAGCCCTGCACTGGACGTGATGATGCCGAGCACTAGTCCCCCACTGGAGTGCCATTTACCAGGGAGCAGAGGATCATGTATGTAAAATGCTTTGTTTTCATAATAGTCTGGGGGCGTCATCCAGAATTGTAAAACACAAACAGACAAGCAATCCCAGAGTCATTAACCAATCACATAAATAAAAGAACAATAGATATCTACTTGTGAAACACTTATAAAAAGTACTGGAGTACACCAGCTATCAATACACAATAAGATCAACAAACTGTGTGAAGCAAAAGAAGGAAATATGCGCCCTAACACCAATGTGTCATGTCAACATGTTTCAAGGGAAAATTGCTTTTTCAGGACTTGAATGCGTAATACAGATCATCACTGTGCCATGATGACAATCTGCTGATAAAATAAATACAGTGAAAATACCAATTCATTTATTCTCAAAAGACTGTGGGTTGATTAACTAAAACTGGAGAGTGCAATATTTGATACAGCTGTGCATGGTAGCCAGCTTCCAACTTCAGTTTGTTCAATCTTTGACAAAAAACCTGGCAGCTGATTGGTTTTTAGGCAGAGTTGCACTAGATTTTGCACTCTCCTGTTTTAGTAAATCAACCCCTATATCTTAAAACATATACAGCAAAAACCAATATATAATACAAATCAACGATACAACATTATGCAACCTATCTAGAACAGTAGAAAAGTGGCACACATGCCACACAAATCCTTAATGAAAACTACACCCCTTACCGAAAGTGTGCACACATGGTCCCAGGGGGGCAGCACTCTCCCCTGGCACGTGGACAGGTCCTGTGGGCATAAATGGAAAGAGGGGAGGCAATTATAGGTCTTAAAAAAACTAAAATAACATATGGTAATGATAACTAAAAAGTAGATTTTCATCAACTTACTTGTGATAGAACACAGGTAGCCAGTCCCTGATTATATAAGAACCATAGGTAATGTCTAAATGTGTAAAAAAAAAAAACTACACAACCAGTGAAAAGATGTCTGCTTCCCGCCAATGTCACATCCGCCCTGTGGAATGCATACCGCTCCAAGGAGCGATTACTCTAGTGGCTTCCATCTTTGAACAGCAATAAGGCTGAATACACCAAGTGCCAGGCTTAGGCACTTTTTTGTGAGTGAATCTTTTATTAGTTACCCCCAATAAAGTTATTAAGCGGTTTTACACTATGGGATGTTCCCTTCTCTTTCTTTGTATATGGAGACATATTGTATTCCCTGTCTGCGGAGGTGTGGACAGAGCTGACTCTCTGGAAGCTATTCCCTATGTGTCACAGACCACTCCAAAGATAGATGGTTACAAGTTGAAAGATCTGGAGACCATTGGCTTACTGGGATAGTCCCGCAAGCGTGAATGACCTCTCTAGAGATAGATGGTCATTGGATCAGGGTGAGTGTCAATCCATGTGGGGCACCTTTGTTGAGCACAGTGGAGCACTTTTTTTGAGAAATGATCCATTCACCAGGATATTGATTGAAAACCAAATACAAGCACATGCACTTGTTCACTAATATGGGACTGGGTTATGAGATGTTGATTATATGCACAGGTTTATGACATATAAAAATAAAAGTATAGTGAGCGCTCCTATAAGTAGCTGCTAAAACACCAAAAGGCACCAACACTCTAAAGGATCAAAGATATAAAAAGGGTGTAGTGCTAGAAATACATATAAAATATTATGCCAATAAGTCCACATAAAATGATCATAAATGCATGTGAGACCATAAAACGGATATAAAGTCTGATAATGTAGCAGATGAACTTGTGACTCCAGCCAAAAGTGAAAAAATGCGCACTCACCGGAAGCGCATCAATAATGCACATAAATAATAATCCTCAAGGTATATTGGTCAGTCCGGTGAACTTTTTCCTATGGTGTAGTCATCAAGCCGTTAAGGAAATGTTTAAATCCACTGGTTCCAGAGGTCCTCCTTAAGATTAGTGAGGTGATCAGCCTGGATATGGGGCTCCTATTCCTCCGGATATGCTGGATACTACCTGGTACCTGTGGGCTTAGTATAGCTCCAAATAGGAGCCACAAAAGAAGTGCCCATAGTGTAGTATATTAAATGATTTTATTGTAGTACCGCATAAGACAGACAGGGTATAGTGATGAGCAGAAAATAACACTATATCTCCATTAAAATGGCCGCCTGGGCTTCCTTCCAGCTCCAGGTGGCAGTATTGTCATGTGCTGTCTGAACCATGACAACTGTGAGTGCGCATTTTTCACTTTTGGCTGGAGTCACAAGTTCATCTGCTACATTATCAGACTTTATATCCCATTATGGTCTCACATGCGTTTATGATCATTTTATGTGGACTTATTGGCATAATATTTTATATGTATTTCTAGCGCTACACCCTTTTTATATCTTTGAGGTTTATGACATGCGCAGTCTATCTGGTTTTCTATTTTATGTGAGTGCAGCTGGCACTTTTTCATGTTAGTGCAACTATTTGTTATTTACAGTATTTCAATTTTTAATAAACCTGCTACACCATAGAAGCATTTTTTTTTCTTTGAGTGTTTGTGCCGTCATATCCCATTTATAAGAGAATATCATTGAGAAGATTGTGGTGATACTTTCTCCCCTGGAGGTTGTTGAAATTGGGAAATGCAACACGCTTTTGGATGATAATTGGTAAATTATTAAATTTACCACACGTGGTGAATACACTGGATTATTGGATTATCCATTCATCACTGGTCTTTGGGAACATGGTGTATAAAGATTTCCTATGCAATCACTGCATGGACTATCCCTTGCCTTATGGACATTTTATTGATTTATCGATTTTTAGTGAGTTTTATGTTGATCACTGTTTGCATCATTATTGACACATACAGGTGAAACTCAAAAAATTAGAATATTGTGCAAAAGTTCATTTATTTCAGTAACTTAAAAAGTGAAACTAATATATGAGATAGACTCATTACATGCAAAGCAAGATAGTTCAAGCTGGGATTTGTCGTAATTGTGATGATTATGGCTTACAGCTCATGAAAACCCCAAATCCACAATCTCAGAAAATTAGAATATTGTGAAAAGGTGCAATATTCTAGGCTCAAAGTGTCCCACTCTAATCAGCAAATTAAGCCATAACACCTGCAAAGGGTTCCTGAGCCTTTAAATGGTCTCTCAGTCTTCTTCAGTAAGAATCACAATCATGGGAAAGACTGCTGACCTGACAGTTGTGCAGAAAACCATCATTGACACCCTCCATAAGGAGGAAAAGCCTCAAAAGGTAATTGCAAAAGAAGTTGGATGTTCCCAAAGTGCTGTATCAAAGCACATTAATATAAAGTTATGTGGAAGGGAAAAGTGTGGAAGAAAAAGGTGCACAAGCAGCAGGGATGACCGCAGGCCTGGAGAGGATTGTCAGGAAAAGGCCATTCAAAAGTGTTGGGGACTTTCACAAAAAATGGACTGAGGCTGGAGTCAGTGCATCAAGAGCCACCACACACAGACGGATCCTGGACATGGGCTTCAAATGTCGTATTCCTCTTGTCAAGCCGCTCCTGATCAACAAACAATGTCAGAAGCGTCTTACCTGGGCTAAAGAAAAACAGACCTGGTCTGTTGCTCAGTGGCCCAAAGTCCTCTTTTCTGATGAGAGCAACTTTTGCATCTCATTTGGAAACCAAGGACCCAGAGTATGGAGGAAGAATGGAGAGGCACACATGGCAAGATGCTTGAAGTCCAGTGTGAAGTTTCCACAGTCTGTGTTGATTTGGGGAGCCATGTCATCTGCTGGTGTTGGTCCACTGTGCTTCATTAAGTCCAGGGTCAACGCAGCCATCTACCAGGAGATTTTGGAGCACTTCATGCTTCCTTCCGCAGACGAGCTTTATGGGGATGCTGACTTCATTTTCCAGCAGGACTTGGCACCTGCCCACACTGCCAAAAGCACCAAAACCCGGTTCAATGACCAAGGGATTGCTGTGCTTGATTGGCCAGCAAACTCGCCTGACCTGAACCCCATAGAGAATCTATGGGGCATTGCCAAGAGAAAGATGAGAGACATGAGACCGAACAATGCAGAAGAGCTGAAGGCCGCTATTGAAGCATCCTGGTCTTCCATAACACCTCAGCAGTGCCACAGGCTGATAGCTTCCATGCCACGCCGCATTGAGGCAGTAATTGCTGCAAAAGGGGCCCAAACCAAGTACTGAGTACATATGCATGCTTATACTTTTCAGAGGTCCGATATTTTTCTATGTACAATCCTTGTTATATTGATTGCATGTAATATTCTAATTTTCTGAGATTGTGGATTTGGGGTTTTCATGATCTGTAAGCCATAATCATCACAATTATGACAAATCACGGCTTGAACTATCTTGCTTTGCATGTAATAAGTCTGTCTCATATATTAGTTTCACCTTTTAAGTTGCATTACTGAAATAAATGAACTTTTGCACGACATTGTAATTTTTCGAGTTTCACCTGTATGTGTGACATATTAGTATTTTTGGAGCATAACTATTGGAGCATAATGCCTTTCACATGGTAATATACTCATTACTATACCACTACTTTTATTTGTACCGATTTCCTGCTTCATCTTTTAAAGTGGCCATAGACTGTATTTCCATAGTTTTAGTAAATACAAAGGAAATTGTACAGAGGTTGTATAATTGTATGTCAGCTTTACACAAGTACATGGGAGGGAGTGGCCGGAGACCCTCAGCTGTCGATGTTCTTGTGTCAATACACTGATTTAATTTCAGTCACATCTACTGTAGTGGACGTACACATTTTTTGGCACTTTTTTCTTGTGACACATAAGGCACCCCATCAGGGGCGGACTGACCATTTGGAAACTCGGGCACTGGCCGAGAGCCCAGGGTCAGTAGGGGGACCCATGAGATGCCCCTGGTACCTTTTTCATAGGCTTTTTTTGAGTTTGGGCAAGGACACAGGGGCCCCATGATCCCCTATTGCCCGGGGCCCCATGAGTTGTCAGTCCGCCCCTGCACCCCATTGATATCAATGGGCTGTCTTACCTGTGACAAATGCTGCAAAGTAGCTTATGGGGCATTTTGGTGTGTTGTGGTCTGCATTTTTTTTTATTGTGCATTTTGCCACATTTGTCACGTTTTTTCATGCAAAAAAAGAGTGATGGAGAACGTCAGAACAGCACACAATTCTGCTCAAACCAGCAGCTTATCCCTAGTAACTAAATAAGTATGGAAAAATGTGGCAAAACTGAAGAAAGTCACATTTACTTATGCTTATACCTAGGTCACTGTAAATGTAATGAAATAAGAGGATCAGGACAACAGCCAGACAACTAAAAATTTCAGAATGAATTTCTGACTCAAGCGGCCTACATATTTAACTTTATATAGCTTTATTTTATTTATTGGGATTCAATTCTACTGAGTGCTTTATGTCTGTATAATAATAAACTAGTGCCACAATTGTGTAAGGTGTCACACTTATTTTGCATTAATAAGATACAGTATGTCATCAGCACAGCCTGTCATAATCTGCAAAGCTCATTTTATTGAATGATTGTATAAACTTTTAAGGATCACGCAAGGACTCTTCATCAGGCATGTCATCAGCACACCCAAGCTTTTCGGTGTGTTGATGAAATATATTTCCATGTTATGCACTTTGACTAGTCAGAAGTTGATACAGTTTCCTGTTAACTACTGGATTGATTCAGTTTTGTGTGTGATGGGAATATGCTAATCATCTTGTAAGAGTTGGTTTCCTTCATCATCACCCCTCGAGATTTCCCCAAGCACTTGTTGAAATTTAATGGTAGCTATTAGGATATGACATACATAATAATATTCATAATACGTTTCATTACATTGTCCAGTGAAGGGTCCCTGCATAGCCCCAAAATATTGCAAATTCGGGTGAGCATTCAATAAAAGAAGTTTTTCAGACAACATAACTTATCCATGGTATGCACCTTGACAATTTGGAAATCATTACAGCACCCTGCTACCTCCAGGGTCAATTCCAGTCTCATGTCTGATGGGAATATGCTCCTCACAATCATTTTGCACACACATTTCAACTAACAGGGTTTCTGTATTCATCACAAATCAGAGTCAAACCTTTCCCACTTATAGTTGTTTTATCAGAAAGCTACAGACAGAACATGATTTACTAAAACAAAGAGCATAATAGAGCTTTAGTCACAGGTTATGTAATCCTGTTATTTGCTGATAACTCTGCCCTGCTACCATTTAAGATAAATTAGGGGAAATGTGATTTAACATGCTCTGTCTTCTATTCTGCTCCTATGTGATTACCAAATCAATTGCCTTGATGCCCTAGTAAAATGTATCTCATTAGTAAATAAGAATGGCTCTGTAATGCATAGCCTGATGATTATGTCAGATCAGGAAATATGGCTAGTGAGTGTTTTTTATGTCTATAGTGGCCTCCATCCATTTGGTTAGCCCCAGGTCTTATAATACCATGCTATAGTTTTTGGCCACATGGCACCAGGACAGGGCAAGGATAACAGGAAAAGGAAACCTGTAGCCTTTGCGGCAGGGTGGGCATGGCATTTGGCACCCTCGAATAGCATCTGTGTGACAGGCCAAGGCCAGGGCAGACTATGGGCAAGTGTGATCCAGTAAACTGTTTCTAGGTCAGAACTGGCAGTGGGAATGCATGCGGAACATGGCTCTGAGGTCCAAGCAGGTGGCAGATAAGAGCAATCATGTAAACCAAGCAGGTGATTAGCAATAAGGATTCCAAGACAGGTACACAGATCAGGGATTTACAGAGATATAGGCAGGAAGTCAGGGAACAGGAATGCTACCACAAACCCAGAGCCCTGGAGCATGAGACTGACTCATGAGCCTAAAAAGCTTGTACTAGAAAACCCATGTACACTGCTTGGAACATTCAGGTAACCATAGAAATAGTCAGGCATTTAAAGGCAAACCTGCTTAAAAAAAAAAGATAATTTTTTTTATATCCATTTAGGCATATAAGCAACATTTGCACAAAACTGGATTGATTTACTAAAGACAAAAATGCTGTTCTATATGCAAAGGGAATTTATATTTAGCAATGAAAATGTTCATTAGTTTTGTGAATCTGCTGAAAATTGAGAAAAAAATACGCAATCATGTGCAAGGAAAAAAAAAACAAAAAAACAAACAGTTTTTGGAATTTGCACGTGATTGGATGACAGAAGTTAGCAGAATTTCACCTTATTCACTAGTGTAAAGAGACATTCCCATGCAAAGTCAAAAGCCTATTTGCATTAAGTAAATCAGCTCCAACAAATCTGCATGTTATCGTGTCTGGCAAATACCATGAGTATCGCTCTGGTTCAAGAAAGCTATTGAACATTGAAAGAAGAAAAAACAAATCTTTTTTCCAGCAGAGTTCTATCAGCAGTGCGTGTTGAAATCTCAGATTTAGTCACCATGGATGGTCAATCCTGTCCAATTGCTGGCATAGTTAGACAACAAGATGACTGAAAAAACCTAGCGTATTATGTATAGGTTTACTGAAATGTTTTAAAAAGATGAAAAACATACTCACAAAATAACCGCATGAAAAAGCTGTAAAGCCGCAGAGATGGCCCAAAATTATGGCAGCTCTGAGGAAAGGGGCACATCCCCGAAACGCATCAGGTGGCCAACCGCACCACAAGTCAGACACTGTCATCATTTTGGGCCATCTCTGTGGCTTTTAATGCACTTATTTTTTGAGCATGTTCTTCATATTTGTAAAACATTTTAATAAACCTTGGAAAATGCACTTGGTGTTTGCACCACCTGTGTGCTTTTTTCCATTATTGTTAATCTCCCTATCTGAGGAGGGCTGCATCACCAGGACTTTTATTCATAGGTCATCTACACATCCGATTCCCTGGCTTCTTCCTGGCATTAACCCCTTTGAGGAGCTGAAGAGATACTGCTTCCAACAAGATGACTAAAGTCTATGGAATCTTAACCGCCTATACTCCAATGCCTGGTAATGCATTCCCATCATTTCTTCCAAAAATATAACTACTTGGCATGTGTAGGATTATTATCATATGCTTTTTCATTAATAGTCATGTGTAAAACTCAACTGTTGCCAGAAATGGCACTTACTCTTTTCATTTGACATATGCCTGATATGTAATAACAGTTTTAAATGAGTCTCAAGCTGATCACCAGTATAGCAAGAATATTGCTAATGGGAGATTTAGAAATATTTTTCCAAAATATTTTGCATTGTATTTACTGAAGAAAAAAAACCAACTTTGTTAATTACCCGGCAAAACATTTTTAAACAGCAATTAAAAATGTTGCTTTTGAATTGCTAATTTTTATTTTAATTTTGAGCTACACTAACAATTTTTGTTATGTTATTTTGCAAAAAAAAGGTTGTCAGTCGTGTTATGCAAAATAAGTGTATGTACAACCTGAGATCACAAAGTATGTTTTTGCATTTATCAAGGAGTTTAGCCGAGTCACATGACAATTCATCCCTTGTTTAGCTAGCTATCCCATTTAATTATTGTTCTGCAATTTTTCTAGCTGCTTGTTGCTTCTTATCATTTTTGAACTGCTTTCCCTTTTCTGGCTTTGTCTCACAGACTATCTGCTGAGTTTTTAATATACAAGGATATAGCAAATGCTTTCATGTATTCATGAGAGAGTATACGTTTAACTTCAAGTTGAAGACAGACAAGGCTTAGGCATATCCTTCAGCAGCAGCTTGCTTCAGAAAAGCAGTGTGTACCTTTGGATAGCAAAGAGCCATAATAAAACAGTGTGTGTTTATGTTCTTTATTGATTTGTTTCAAATGAACCAATGTAATCTCTGCTGGCTCTTTTACGATTTACAGTAAAGGTCTTGGGTTTAGGTTGTGCATATCAAATCACTGCAAGGTTGTTAAACGAAAAGGTACTGACTAAAGTTCTTTAAAATCTAAAATAACAGGAGCAGTAGGCGCACAATGCACAACATGCCATAATATATTGCCGCTTTCAAGCTAGCTAGGGCTAGTGTTATAACATGCTAGTTTTGCACTTGTAATAAATAACATAGCCCCAGTACATCTTTATACCATGTCATCTTAACTTAACACCTAAAATTGGGATTTTTTTTAAACAAACTAATTAGATACTTGTCTTTTCTTCTGTCCAGGTTTTAATGCATTATAGGATACTATTTCAAGTTAGACCAGTGTGAGTTTTAGAAAATAAAGTCAAACATTTAAATGGGCCACAGGATAATATTCATATCTGCTGAAAATGTATCATGCAGCAACCATTGAGTTAACTCCTAGCTGTGAATAATGATAAAAATTGAATAAACTGGACAATGAAAGAGGGAACTGATCCAGAAAGGACCAGTGTTATAAGAACTCAATCCACCAATTAAAGAGGTTCTAAAGGCTGAAGGTTTTTGTTATCTTAACCTCCCTGGCGGTATGATTATTTCAGATTTTTGGTGCTGAAAGCGCGGTACCATTTTTTTGCATGGAAATATGTATTTTTTTTATTGTAGGCTGTAATTTTTAGGAAAAACTCACTGAAATCTGTCCGAACAAGAGTCTAGTAAACATCCCGGGTATGATAAAATTTGAAACACAAAATCATAAATTATAATTTAATAAATAATCATAAAAATAATATAAAAATAATAAAAAATTTAATTCAATAATATAATCAAACCAAAAACACTGAAATGTGAAATAGAGCGCCAAGTTCGCACATTGCTGAGCTCAGTCGCAAAATCATTTTCAGTTTCTGATGACGAATTTCCCCCACGAATCATTATCACTCAATTCTGCAAGTGGTTCTGATTTACTATCGCTGTTCTCTAGCTGGTCTAAACCGCTTTTGACCTAAAGGGACACTTTTTGGACGCCATGGACATTTCTCAGTTTCCAGGCAGAAAGAACAGACAAAATGCAGGCAGGGCGCAGGACAAAGCACTCGGGACAAAATG